TCCGAAATAGACTCCATGTTTGAAAATCATGTTTGAAACTTGATTAATTTGCATGAAGGGTAAGACCCATCAATCGCAAATTAGTTTTCAAGGAGAAAACTTACAAATGTGGAAATGTATATGCATACATAGCTAGATTAGTTGAAAAGGTTACAATCAAATTCATTGCGTTGATTTAATAAATCCTATTCACTAATCGGAATGCTTAAGTCTTTTCGTGATTATTCTAGCAAAATTGCGCATATTAAATATGGCAAAATTGATAACGAAACCGCCTTCCTAGAAATGAGATTTTAGATGAGACTGTGAATATAGTTTAAGGGTTTTTTAATTTTAAATAATGCTAGATTTGAAAGCAAGCTCAAGAAATCCATTGTGGGATTGAGTGAAGCATCGCATGTAGGAATTGGAACATGTATTCTCATAAAGTTAATAAAAGGTTTGGCTTATGGAGAATCATAGAAATTCTTATGGATAAGAAGTTTAGTGGGATCAAGAGTCAATCTTGTAAGGACAAACAAGAAGTTTATGAACTCTATTGTGAAATGACTATTAAATGCTAAATGCTTAGATTTGAAAGGGATTTTGACAATGGACCAAGAGAAAGGTGATACTTAGTACATATTGGGAATTAAGACCTATTGTATAGACTTAATAAAATATTTAAACGAGTAGAGGAATTTACCGTGTTAAACATAAAGGATTTGAAAAGGCTTTCGACCCATATGTATAAAACTAAGTAAATGTTTGAACTAAGTATAAGCTAGGCAAATACTAAGTCAAACGAGAAAGACTCTAGTAGAGACTTTCAACCGTATCATATAGCAAACAATTTAGCAAGACTCGGTGAAACTGGATGAGCTAAAAGGTCACATGAATGGAATAATATTGGGAATAATTCTGCAATTGAAACCATCATGTATGCTATGATATGGAGTCATCACTCAACTTACATGCTTAGAGCATGAGAAGTATAAAATACCGATCAATTTAAATCTAAGTAATGGATCGTTAGATTATGATCAAGAACATTCAAAGTACTTGGATAAGTAAAAGGGATGAGTTCTTGACACATGGAAACAAATGTAATTTGAGAATTGATGTTGCAAGCACATCCTTAACAAGGATCAGATCCTTAACAAGGAAGCCGTTTATAAGCACGAGCTAAAATGCGTCGTGGCTTGAGAATGGTAACATGGACGCGCATCCATGTGTAATGTGCGGGAATGTAAGGTAAATTTCCATGATCACAAGTGATTAGGGTATCCCAAATCATTGTGAGCCGTTTGGAATGAAATCCAAGCAAAGCACCATTAGGAAGTTTACTGAAATATATGTTGAGAATATTGTTGCCTTAAAGGCAATAATAAGAAAGTTGTTCAATGGAAAGTTCCTTGTTGAACATTGATGATTGTAGGTTGTCAAGTTGAAGATCTCAAATCATGAAAATGAGTGGGAGCCATCACTTGGACAATAAATCCTAAATCACATAATCCATAACACTCTCAAATTTTATCATCTTATTATGAAAGTATTCGATAACGAAGATGCTAAGATTTGCAAAGTAATCATAACTAAACCTATGCAATAAGTGAACGACAACATTCACAATTGCATGAAAGAAATCAAGCATATTAAATATGGGTGTGATTTCTATAAATGTTTTGTGAAGAGTATTACTCTTGAAACATTTGAGGAAAACCATTTATCATAAGATGAAACGTTGAAAAGTTTCATAGTGGAATAAAATTTTTACTAATAATTCCATAAACTATTTAATTGTGGTTTAGAATTAAATAATGAGTCCAATCGATTTTGAGAATATTCAAAATAGGGTATCAAGACAATGTCTTGGATAAAGAAACACCTATTAAGTGAACATTGAATATTTTAATCGAAAATTATCCCTAATCAAGGTCATTTAAAAGTTGTACGACTAATGACCACTTGAGATTAGTGTGTAGTATGATTTATAGCACCGTTTCTTGTGCTACAAGGACATGATTGTCATAAATCATTTGCACAGGTATTTGTTTAGAACTATACCGGATCGACCTATGAGTATACTTTAAGAGATTTAAAATCGTCATAAGTACATTTCTGATTATAGCTATCGGAACCTCTTTCCTCGACCATGAGTATTGTAAGTTCTCTTGTTTGATTACTAGTCCATTTTGATGTTGTCAAACGTCTGCCGTAATTGGGGATTATAACGGCAACACTCCAGCGGCTAGGTCCTCTTAGTAAGGGAAGCTAACAATACAAGACTGGGAATGTCCCCCTATTAACAATAGGGAACATGTCTTTGTTGTTTACAAGGCCTCTCGAGGAGCGAGACTGTGAAAATGCATGGCCGTGCTCAGATGGATTTTAGAAATCACCTGCTTATTGACAGTCAAACTCGGAAATCGACCTCTTGACGTAATAAGGATGACGAAGAATCTTACCTTATAGTTCATGAAGAGACATTAAGTGACATAGGAAATGGGCTATACACTAACAGCGCACTTTTCCGGAAGGACAAGTAGGAGATTGTAAGGAATAATTCCGTCCTTCGAACAAGTGTATTGTTCCGATAGAGGGTTCCTAATTATTAAAAAGCTTATTATTCAGTGAGGTCAAGTGATCGGAATGCCTAGCTAGAGGCCGCTTTCGATCAGTAATATTAATGCATAATTAATATTACAGCTTAATCTTGACTGAACCCTTCGGGTCACACCCAATCGAGTAACCGAACCAAAACGATGAGTCATTAGAGTATTACGAACAAAGACGTCGGATATCGAGCCTAGAGCGTCGAAACCGAGCATCGTAAGTCGAGTCGAATTTAGGATTCGACAAGACGAGAAGATAAGTCAAACAATAAGTCAAGGCATACTGTCCTATTCTCACATCAGCCTAGCCGGGCGAGGGCTAAAGCCAGCTTGATGCTGCCGCAAGCCTTGCACTGGTCGCAAGTCTACCAAGCCGTGTGCGTGGGCTGGCTGGGGCTGCTGGCCGAGTGCATGGTGCGCAAGCATCGCAAGCAAGGACCCAACAACTAGCGCAGCTAGCTAGGCCTTATTAGCGTATGTTGTGGCTAGCAAGTAGCAGCAGTAGCCCGGCTTGCGCTTGGGCTTGCGATGGTAGTAGCACAACCATCAGCAATAGCGGCCCGCAAGCGTGCGAGGCCTGCTATGCTGCGATGGGCCGCACTGGCTAGCCCAGCCGAGAGCACAAGGCAGCCACCGAAGGCTGGGCCTTGGTGCTCAAGGCAAATAGCCCAGCCGAAGGGCCAAGGATGCCACAAGGCATGCCTTGAGGCCCAAGGCTTGGGGTGTGCCATGCACATGGGGTTGGTGGGTGTATGCTTTCTCTCCAAGGATGGGTTTGTGGTCCTTACCTACTCCCTCCCTCATGTTGACACTTGTCATTTGACTATTGCATAGCTAATCTAATTTAATTTGGAATTAAATTAATTGCTTACTTTTCTCACTCTATCATTTCTCCCACATGTAAAGATGATTGAAGTTTTTGGGAGCCTTTGCCTATAAATACCAACTTTAGAAGTTGGGATTATTCACTTGAGTTGAATTCAATAAGGCATCTCCCAATAGGTGAGAAAACCTTTAAGTTCGTAATACTCTAGTATTATTTTGGTCTAGCCCCGACTAAGCTTCGGGGTAGGGGCCGTTTGGGTCGGGTGTCGAGGGTGAGAGCCGTTGGAGGCTTGCGCATTTGCGGAGCTTTACACTTTCAAGTTCGAGCTCTAAAAGGAGCGAAGCACGCATCTAGGGTATGACCGTCTTTCTCTCTCTCTTTGTTAATTAATTATGTGATTATTAGTTAATATGCATGTTTAGTTACATTAATTTGTGTGCGGATTTTGGGAGTGTTTCATTCCGCGTAGTGCTAGACACTACGAAACCTAACACAAACGTTGGCCATGGAGGTAGTCAAAAGCTTCATTATAAGTCATTCCTATTGGTGTATATTTATCAATGGTCCATTTTACCTGCGGCTTAGGAGCATTGAGTGTTTTCTTTAATTTTTTAAGAGAAGAAGAAGAAAGAGGATGGTCATTCTTTTCATTACTCCGATCTTGGAAATGAGGGTTTAGTTCAACACCATACTTGTAAGCTTGGCAATGGAATCTTGGAGCTTATCAATGTTTTCTTTTAGATTTGTTGAGTTTTCCTCGGTGGCATCTAGAAAACTTCTTCATCCTCCTCAATCATAGTCACTTCATTAATGGCAATTATATAGATTTCTTCGATCATGAGTTCATCAATAAGTGTAATGAGGAGAGAAGGATCAAAGATTATTTGATAATCTGTGACGGCTAGAACATCAGAAAGTTTGTTATCATCAATCAAATCCTGGATAACTTCTTTGAGTTTCCAACATTCCTCAGTATCATGACCTCTTCCTTGGTGGTATTTGCAATGTTTATTAGGATCCCACTTAGGTGGTCTAGCCTCCGGGACTAGATCTTTGATGGGTCCTATGGGCATGACCAGTCCTTTGTAATGTAGTTTATTGAAGGCTGTCTCATAGCTCATGCCAAATGGAGTAAACACTCTTTTCGACCTTTGGATTCGTTGCTTAGGAGTGTCTACAACATGTACTTCATTAATGGGAGAGGAAGAAGAAGGATGGTCGTTCTTCTTTCCTTTTGCATCATTATTGAAAGCAGCTGCCAACTTCATAAGGTTGTCTTCAATTTTGATGCCTATATTGTAGACGACCTTGAAAGTGTTTAGAAGTTGATATTTTAGGTTCTTTTGGTACTTATCTTGAAGGTTTTTGATGAACATTCTCACAGAGTCTTTTTCGTTCGGGGCCTTAATCATATATCCTAGCAGAAACTTCCTTCCACCTAGTATAGAATTCGGCGAAGCCTTCATTATGTTTTTGTTTCAAGATTTCGAGCTCTCTATACACTTAGTAGAAAAATTGAATTCCGCACTTTTCGCACCGGTTCTTGAAAACCGGTGGGTAAGGAAATGGGCAGGATTGGGAAATAAAGTTTTCGCACTGGTTCCAGTCAAACCGATGCAAAAAGTGAGTTTTTTCCACCGGTTCTGACCGAACCGGTGCAAAAGCTATTGCATAAAAAAAAAAAAACCCGGTCTGCCTCTAAATGTATACTCTTTCTTTCTCTTTCTGTCTTTCTTTCTTTCTCTTTCCTTTTCTCTCTCCTTCAATCTCCTTCTCCACCGGCGGCGGCCACCTCCCCCTCTAAATATATACCCTCGCTTTCTCTTTCTAGATCAATCGTATTTGGAGTGAGTGTTTTCGGATTTTCGAATTTTCTGGGTGGGTGTTTTCGGGTGAGTGTTGAGTATTTCGGGGTGGTTGGAGTGAGTTTCGGTGGTTAAGGTTTAGTTTCAAGCAGACGGCGCCTTCTAATCCGTGTATCCCCCATTGAAGAGGCAGCTTCTGAGGTAACTTGTTGTTTGAATCTGATTCATTTTAATTGTCAATGCGGTAAGTTTAGGGTTCGAAATCTCAACTATTTTTGATGTTTGAATCAAATTTCCCTTTGAATTTTCGACCCTAATTTGTAACTGAATCAAATATCCCTTAAAATATGTTATTTTTCGGGCATAATTTGATAATTGAATCAAATAACCCTAAAAATATGTGCTTTTTCGAATTTTGATTGAATCAAATGGGGTTCTATTGAATTTCGATCTGATTTGCATGTGAATAGTTTACCGTGCTTTTGATTGCGTTGATTGCTTCCTGTCATCTTATGGATTGTTAATGATTGCTTACTGTCATTTGAATCAAAAATTAAGAAAAATTGTTGGTGAAATTCAATGAATTTGTGTATGAATTTCAAATACTCCAATGTAGATGCTTTTTCAAGTATAAGTTAGCTTTTGTTATTTTCTTATTTGATAATTTGGCAATCCAGAACTTGGAAACTATGCAATGTAGATGCTTTTTCAAGTATAAGGGCAGGACCTAGTCACTTATGCCATGATCAATGCAATTGCAGTTCGGAAAATTTTGAAGAAATATGATAAGGTAGAATATTATTATTCAAGAGATTCTTGGGATTCTTTAGAATCAATTAAATATTAAAGAGATTTAGTTGAGTGTATTATAAAATATGCTGATGGTATGCTTGCAATTGGATAGGTTCATTATTCTAAGCAAGGTCAAGAATTCAAATCACGCGCTCAGAGGATGCACGTTGAGATCCTCCAATCGCCATGGCTTAGTGAGCTCATGGCCTTTCACATTAATTTAAGGGATAAAAAGGAAAAGGCAAGAATTGGAGCTTATTTGTTTGTGGGCTGCGCTCTTAAATTTACAGATGGAAAGCCGTCACTAACTTGTGAGCTCTTTGATTCTGTGAAGGTGGATCTTGACTTGACTTGTTCTATTTGTTTGGTAAGTATACTTACCTTGTATGTATAAATGTCTTTTCGTTCTTTCATTTGCACCATGTCTAACCCTTCAACTTTATACAATCTTAGGTGTATGTCACTGAAACTAGCACGATATGATTAGCATGTTCAAGTTGTGTTGTTTTTTATAATATATATGAGTAATTAAAATTAGTTGCTTGATTTTGTGTCTTTCAAGCAATATTAAAGTATGCTATTGATTTCTTCAATCATTGTTATCGTAGCTGACTCATGTAAATACTCTTTTAGAACTTCAAAGGAAGAAAAATACTTCCCAGGTCTGGCCTTGCATGTGAAGCTGCTGCCTTGCAGCATCATGTTGATATGTTGAATAGTTTTTCTTGTCACGAGTCATGACAGCATGTTACTATGTTTTCCTCACCCTAGAATATTGCTTTGTTTTGTGTTTTCTTTATACTCTCTTCATTCTCTTGTAATTGCTCCATTTGACTTTCATGTTTGCCAATACACAATTTTGATTGTTCACTGCATAATTACATATGAGTTGAAAAAAATCATTGAAGTTAATATTATACTTCGTATTATACTTCCTCTGTTTTTTATTATTGCAAAATTTGCAACACTTCTCATTTCACAATTGCCAATATATTATTTTATTTGCTAATATTTAAATTACAAATATGTAAAATTTATAAAAATGTGATATTATGAAAGTATAAATTGAGATGAGTCTAACAAGATCCCATGACTATATTTTTCCTTACTTATGAATCATCAAAATTAGTCAAAGTGGAGTATATGAATAGCTTAAAAGTTAAAGCGTTGCAAGTAAAAAAACAGTAGAAGTATGATTCAAAAAGCATAAAAAATAAAGCTCAAAAGACAGCTATTTTTTTTTTCCTGAAAGACCCCCTTGTAGTAGGCTATACCAAACAACAATATGGAGGATATTCTCAGTATTAGAGCTCATCAACAACTGCAATGGTTTTACTAAATAAGATATTGATTGATAAAAAAGTTGTGTGTTTGCTACTTTTATATCTATCGTATATGTTGTATGATTCTTTTATTAATTGTTAAAGAAAGTAATTATTAAAAGATAATGTTAGCCAATTTTACTTCATGTTAGTTACACCATTTTTAAGTTACCCATTTTAAATTAGTTATCCTTTTTTTCTACATTAGGTTTACCTTATATCCTAAAACAAATTTATGTGAGGGTTAGTTTGTGTACGATTGTTTAGTACATAGCTGATCTGGGAAATTGACATTGTGGTTTATCTCTTCTAATAGTATACAGGATACAGTGTTTGACCCTGTTGCTCTTACCTGTGGCCATATATTTTGCTATATGTGTGCCTGCAATGCTGCTCTGTGACTATAGTTGATGGCCTGCAGGCCACATCTCCAAAGGAGAAGTGTCCATTGTGCCGAGAGGTAATCATGAATGCCCTTACTAAGTTATTTATGTTATCTCGTTCAATCTTTACCTTAATCATGAATGCCCTTTACATGCTTGATAAACTGATGATTGTATTTTGACATTAATTTTTTAAATAAGTAAAAAATTGGCATTGTGGAATAATAAAATAGAGGCTGTTTCCTTTTATCTACACTTGCTAGACAATTCCTTTTTCATTGTTGTATTATCGAAGTTAATATGTTGGATTTTAGGGATTTTTGGATCAAATACCTAGCGACAAACTCCTATGTTCCTTCACTGAAACACAGTGAAGAGATAGAGTGCAGTGTGTGCTTAGAACGTGTGCTCGCTAAGACAGCAGTCGTTGAACGAAAGTTTAGTTTGCTATCAGAATGTGACCACCCATTTTGTATAACTTGCATCAGATTTTGGCGTAACAGCTCACCAACCTCTGGATTGGATGTTAATTCCACATTGAGGGCTTGTCCTATATGTCGTAACAGCTACAGTGGAATCGCAGAAATTGCAGCCTCTTTCTCCTTATACTGCGTAAGTTATATAATCAAATTTATCTGGCTCGAGCTAGCAAAAATACCCTTGACTTTTCTGTCTTTTATGAACAGCTATGAGGATCTGAAGCCTCCCAGCTCTCCAAGCCCATCTCCTCCTGGTAACTCTTGTTGGAGACTTCAACACCTGTGGATGGTGTACCACAGTTCATTGATAGAAATGGATCCTTGGCAGAAGATGTTTAAGAGGAATTGATTTTTTACCACTCACCATTCCCTGTGTAAGTCTTTGCAGTCATGCTGATATCCTGAGGGTGGTGAAGTCTTGTGATTATCCCAAACATGTGTAGAAATGTACTAGTGTAGTATGTTTTAATAGCAAGTGAATAAACTAGATTACCATAGGTAATTTGCTCATATGCATGCATCATTCTCCCACATTTACTCAATTGATTCAGTCAAGATGCCCTTTGTATTTTGGCTTCATTTAACCACAACATAGAAATACCTTTTTACTTGAAGTTTTTATTCTATGGATCATAATTTAGTCAAGTCATTTAGCTAGTCAGTAGCTGGTTCTCATCTTTACACAGCATTTGAGATTCCCTTTTCAACTCATAAATTATTTGGGAAAATAGCTGATAAAAAAATTGGTTATCTTCTCTTTTCCTTGCAGATATGAAGACTTGAAGCCCCCTACTTCGCCAACCCCAACAACTCCTAATTCATTGGCCACTTCCATGGCCTCGGATGGTGCTGAATCTCAGACAGCTAACTTGTCAAATAATGGTCCAATTGAATCTATTGAAGCACAAGATGCAGGGAATGAGCAGACTTCCGCACAGCCAAAGCCAAGACCACTTTCACCGTATACAATGTAAGTTAGTCAACGTTCAATCTTTCTTTCTTTTTTTTTTTCCCGAATATTTTCTGTTTACCATTTCAATGGATAAGAGGTTTCTCATCTTGCTGGAATACTAAACTGAATATGCACACGTATAGTTGTATTGTCCTGAGAGCAGAATTCCAGTCTTTCTTTTTGGAAATGGTGGTGGTTGCTCAACTGATTCGACAAATTGAAAGATTATTTAAGTGTGTCTATAGAATTAGCCTGATTGTAACTCATTGAGGCTAGATGCTAACTAGTTAAAGACATTTTCATTGTAGTATAATTATCTGGTAATCTGGTATAGATGAATACTTTGTATTAGTATATTGTCTTTATTTTAAGCATCTATATATAGTAAGTAGGATTTCAACATCTACCCATTCCTTACTTAGATAAAGAATGCCTATGCTAGAAGGCGCACAATGCGCTCCACTACTTGTTCCTCAACAATATGGTTAAAGAAGGGAGTTAAAACCTATATATCATAGTTGGAATAGAATGCCAAAATTGTATCACTTTAGAGCTTTTGTTTCTGGACCACAATGTGTCGCCTGCTGACATCCTGTTCATTTTTTGGATGAAGGTATGATGATATGAAGCCACCAAGTAGTCCAATGCCTTCACCAGGGAATAACTAACTATTCTAGAGCGGGTGCTGCCAACCAAGGGATCTCTAACACGCTGTTGAACCATCTCCATTTTGATGAACTGGTGAAAACTTCCTGTTAGTTCTCTATTACATCTGAAAAGCCGAAGATTTTTTTTTTCAAGTAAAAGTTATAATTTCTATCAGATTGTATGTTATTTATTTTTTTGACGAAAATTGTAATATTACAGCCTTTTATAATGAAAATATGTAACTTTATATATATGTTAGTGTTTATATATCAATTTAAGTGAAAAAATTGCAAAAAAAAAAAAAAAATTTATTTTTTTAGGGCACTTTTGGCACCGATTTTGAAAAAGAACCGGTGCTAAAAGTTTTTTTATAAATTTTTTTGGGACTTTTGGCACCAGTTCAAAGCAAGAACCGGTGCGAAAAGTGAGGTTTTCGCACCGGTTCTCACCCAGAACCGGTGCTAAAAGTCCTTTTTCCCACTGGTTTTGAACCGGTGCGAAATCTATGGGGTTTTAGCACCCCCCAAATCCAACCCGGTTCAAAACCGGTGGGAAAGGGGGGGGTTTGAACCGGTGGGGAATTCGTTTTTTTGCCTAGTGATAGTCAGTCTCTACTTGTACGTTGCACTTGTATCTCTTGATGAAAACATGTGCAATATTCTCCCAAGTAGCAGTGTCTTTGGTCCCAAGGGATAAGAACCATTGTTGACATACCGGATCTAATGAGAGATGGAACAACGAAGGGAAACGTTGCTTGTTAACCCCCTTGATTTCCATGATTGTTTCAAAAGCTTTCAGGTGGAAGTAAGGGTTATAAGTGGGTTTGAACTTAGGAATGTCAGTGATAGAGAACTTGTGCGGAAGAAGTCCCTTATCCAATGAGATTCCCTTGGTACTCATATCAATGTATTTATAGTCATTGGAAACTTGGCTTAGTGTCTCTTGGATGTGCTTGATGGTCTCAGGTGGAACTTGTTTATTAGAATCTTCAACTTTCTCCATTCGAATGGTGAGTCCCTTGATAAGCTTGGCAAGACCTTCCATGGTCTTTTGAAGTTTCTCAACATCTTCTTGTTTGGCTGCCATTGGTTTCTTCTTCCTCCGAACCGTGTTCCTAAAGAAGATCTCTTGAATGTAGGAGTTGTACTGTCTCAAACTAATTGACCCTATTTCCTTGACCAAACGACGTAGAAAGGGAAACCATGGACACTTATTGTCAATTACTTGACTCGAACTCGATTTAACATGCATAGATGGGGAAAGATCATAGTGTATGAGAGGAATGATATGGGGAAAGGATGAAAGAGGAAAGTATGTGAATGTGTAATGTATGTAATGTATTGAAAGTATGTGGGAAGGTATATGTCAATGTGGAAGGATATGGAAAAACCGATAATAGGATGGACCCTCAACTCAAATGCCGGAAAGGATGACTCATGCATGGACCTAAGACATGGTCATGGTGTGAAAAAAGATATGTACAAGGTGTGTGCAAAGATTCGTGAGTGAAAGTGATATATTCGAGTTAAGAATGCATCACGCGGAAGCCTTACATTAGAAGGGTTGGCACAATGGACGAGACCCAGTGAGTTAAACTCAACTCCATAGTTTAGTGAATTCACAAACTCGGATGCACCCATTATTGCACTGAGCGTTTATTATGGTGGACAGAGCGTGAATTCCCAAAGGTTAAAACCATATGTAAAACACATATGGGTTCAGAAAAGTTGGAAAAAATTAATTAGGAAGTAAAATCGTCGAGACAGTACTAGAATCAGGCAAAATACGAACACCAAAGACTGGCACAAAGTCGTTAGAGCTTGTCGCTGGCCGGCAGAGGTCATCATTCGGCGACAGCCCTATCACGACGCGATGGGAGTGTTGTTCGCCGTTGACCGCTGACGCCACGCGACAGCTCTGGCTCTCTGCGGAAAATTCAATTTTTGATATTTTTTTCGATTTTTCGCAGCGTCCCTTCGATTTCAGTTGTGAAAAATATTTTCGGCCTTTTCTACGTGTATGTCTTATGTTTTAGACGCATTACGAATGGTCTTCCAATGCGAACCTTTTTATGCTTATGCCACAATGTTAATCCAAATTACGCACATGAATATCTAGAATCTTTCAAGTCTCATCCACTCATTCTAAATTAATTGCTAAAATAAATTAAGAATCAATTAAGAAATCCTACCCAATTGTGTCACCAAAAACTATAGGGAATTTTTCAACTCTTTGAGCCTTACTGTGGTTCATGCTTTTAGACATGGCGGCGTTCCAAGGAAAAGAAGCTAGAGAAAAAAGAGTCTCGAACAAGTTTTAGGAATTTGTAAACCGTTCATGGGTGTGAAGGTTACACCCCATTCATGATCACGGAGATCGCTAACTCCATAGTGGACCGGAACCATGACTGGATGTTCGGGGATGATGGTACGAATCCAACCTAGAAGAGATTAAACCCGCACTAAATAGGCCTCTACTTAATTCTTATGATATTCATGTGCGCTTTTTGATCTACATACATACATCAAATTAATCCTACACCTATTTGATCTATGTTGGTTGGTTATTAATGCACAATCAAATCTAATATTGGTGATCACTTGAATTAAAACCATATTATCCTAAATAATATTATTAATTATCATATTAGGCGTGATTTCAAATACAAATTCCCTTTAAACCTGCAAAAAGGGGCGTGATCACACAATAACAATAAATCATGAATAATCAAGCAACATATGGTTAATACAACAATCATCATCATAAAAATATCATAAAAATATCATTAGTAGTAAAATCCTAGGCATGATACTAAACAAATTTATAACAAATCCTAGCATGTCACTTATAATCAAATCAAAGTATTATCCTAAACATGATACTAGGAATTAAAATAATATCATAAGCATGAGTAAAATAACATTATAAACCTGATTTCTACTCCAAAATCAAAAGAATAATTAAGTAATTGAATTACTTACTTTGATGTCACAACCTT